CAACTTAGTAGGATGAGCATGATCTATGAAGGAAAGGGGGACAAAGATGACATAAACAACTACCGTCCTATAACAGTGACATCAGTGCACGGTCTACAGGCTGGCGACGCAGATTATAAAGGAAAGACTGCTGGCACGAATAGAGGATGAGGGGGTGCTGGGGGAACTCCAGAATTGGTTTCGGAAACACAGGAGGTCGGAAGACAATCTGTTCTCAATGACGCAGCGCATCGAAATAGCAGAAAAGTAACTCAGGTCACTATGGCTAGCATTTTTGGATATCAAGGGAGCGTATGATAGCGTGGTTCAAGAGGACTTGTGGGGAATACTATACACACTGGGTGTGGAAGATGGAGTCACTAATCTTTTGAAGGATATCTATAAAGGTACCAAGTTAATATAAAGTCTGAAAAACAAGTATCCAAGCCTGCAGATGTAAAACAGGGGCTTAGACAGGGGTGTCCCCTGTCACCCTTACTATTCATGATGTACCTACAAGGATTAGAGGCCAAATTAGAGGGAAGTGGTTTGGGCTTCAACCTCTGTTTCGTCAAACAAGGAAAACTCATTGAACAGGCACTACCACCATTGATGTACGCAGATGATATAGTGCTAATGGCCGACAACAAGGAAGATTCGCAGAGATTGGTGGAGATCTGCGGTAATGAGGGAGATAGGTTAGATTTCAGATTCAGTCAGGAAAAATAACCAGTCATGATTTTTAATGACAATGAAAGTAGTAAGCTTAGAATACAGGAGGTGACGCTAGAGATAACAGATAAATACAAATATCTGGGCGTATGGATAAGCAATGGGGCCGAGTACCTAAGGGAACACGAAATATATGTGTCGACTAAAGGTAACAGCAATGCAGTGGTAATGAAAAACAGGGCACTGTGGAATTACAATAGGTATGATGTTGTGAGAGGAATATGGAAAGGGGTCATGGTTCCTGGTCTGACGTTCGGCAATGCGGTCTTGTGCATGAAATAAGAAGTTCAAGCAAGATTAGAAATTAAGAAACGTGGAATAGGTAGGCTTGCCTTAGGAGCTCATGTGAATACACCAAATCAGGGAGTACAAAGTGATATGGGATGGACATCATTTGAGGGCAGGGAAGCTAGCAGCAAGATAAAATTTGAAATGCGATTGAGAGAAATGGTGTAGGAGCGTTGGGCTAGGAAGGCATTCAGCTACTTGTACAAGAATGTCGATACAAAATGGAGGAAACGAACCAGGAAGTTGACTGGTAAATACTCAGAAAACAGCAGGTGGCCAAACCAAAAAGAACTATCGGTTAAGAAGAAAGTGAAGGAAACGGAGACTGACATGTGGAAAATGGGCATGATTAAGAAGTCCGCACTAGAGATCTATCGAACTTTTAAGCAGGAAATCGCCAAGGAAAGGATCTATGATAATACTCGGGGTAGTTCTCTACTGTTTGAGGCAAGGACGGGAGTACTGCGAACCAAGGCATATCGGGCCAAATACGAAGGGGTAGACACAGTATGCAGTGCGTGTGGAGAGGAAGAAACTGCCGAACACTTGATAATGTTCTGTAAAGGGCTTCACCCTATAGTTCAGGATGATGGCGCAGAGTTTTTCAAAACACTGGGGTTTAGGGACAGAGAGGGCAAAATCAAGGAGGTTATACTAAATCTTCTGGAGTGGCGGTCCCGCATACCCGCCCATGTCTCGAAGTGAAGCCGCGGCGGCCATATTGCTCAGGGCAGAAGGAGGCGGCGCCTGTTTTGAAGCGCCGTGATGCTTGCCGTGCGCTTCGTTATTGCTTCAAAAGCACCTGTTTAATATTTTTAGTAGGCGAACGAACGCGGAAAAGACTTTAATGCACATCTGCTTTAATTTTTCTTGGACACTTGGCGCTTCAAGCGTGTAAAAAAAAAGAACACGCCAGACCTGCAAGGAACGCGCAAAACAGTCACAGCGAAAGCTGGGAGAGTGGCCTTTCAGAGCCTTCTCTAAAAACTCTTTGGGATGCTACAAGGGCACTGCTGGGTACCCACAGTGCCATAAATAATCATAAATTTTCTGTAGTAGGCCAGCATTCACTATGCTATCCTTCGCCATTCTTTGGAGAATCGTACGCGGTATTCGCTACACACTTCTTTGAAGTTTAGTGCATCTTTTTATGCAGTGGCTGATGACGATGAAGAGAGAGAGATATATATAAAGATACAAGGAAAAGCAGGGAGGTTAACCAGACGCACATCCGGTTTGCTACCCTGCACTGGGGAAGGATAAAGGGGAGAAAAGAGGTTTCAGAAAGATGAGAAGGTACACACAATCACGAGCACACTCGGGGAGCATACACAGTTTACAGGCGGTCGCTCAGGTTTGTTGACTTAAGGTAAAGTAGCAGTGCTTTAGTTGCTTTCTGCGCAACTGAGGCAGATGCCCAAGGTCCTAGTATCTTCTGCACACAAAATGGTCCGGGGTCAAGTCGATTCAAAACTATCCGTAGCTGGCATCGCTGTGTGTCGTAGCAAGCGCAGCTGCACAGGACGTGTTCGATGGTCTCTTCATCTCCGCAGTAGTCGCATGTAGGAGTGTCTGCCATACCAATGCGAAAGGAGTACACCTTTGTGAATGCAACACCCAACCAAAGGCGGCATAACAGTGTCGCATCGGAGCGGGAAAGTTGTGATGGTAGCTTTAGCTTGAGCGAAGGATCCAGTTCATAAAATTGACACCTTTGGAAGCTGGTAGACGACCAGAACGTGCGTGTGAGATCTCGAGCCAGCAGGTAAAGTTGTCTTGCTGCATCATTCCTTGCTAGATGAATCGGGACTACACGGGTTTCTTCATGGGCTGAGCGGGCTGCATCATCGGCTAATTGATTTCCGGTAATACCGATATGTCCAGGCAGCCATTGATATATAATATCATGCCCTCGTGCTAGAGCTTCATGATGGCAATGTCTTATTTCTTGTACCAGTTGGTCATGGCTCCTCCTACGCATGGCAGACTGCAAACTCTAAAGCGCTGCCTTCGAATCACAGAATATGACCCATTTTACTGGACGTTCTTGAACGAGATATTGTAAAGCAGCCCTTATAGCAGCAAGCTCTGATGCCGTAGATGTTGTCATATGCGACAACTTGATTGTCATTTCTGCAGCCGGAACTACAGCGGCACCTGATGAGCTGCTGGAGGAGACGGACCCATCAGTGAATATCTGCGTTCGGTCTAAGTACAACTCATGTAATAATAGCAGTGTTGCTTGCTTCAATGCTACTCTGGAGGGACTGCTTTTCTTTTTGATTCCCGGAATTTCTAGACGTACTTGCGGCTGGTCGAGGCACCACAAAGGTCATGCCGTTCTCGCAGCTGGCGTATATCCTGATGGAATGCTGTTTAGGTGCTTGGCTATGACGTCTGAAAACGTAGCACGTGGTCTTCCGGAAGGTAGAAGGGTCAAGTGGTGGTCGGGGACACGGCTAGCATGTCGAATGTGCGCTCTGAGGCAATCCACAACTATATATGTCCTGACCGGATGGTCTTTGGCAAGCATGATTGTGGCATAAGTAGAAGCGCATCGGGGCAGTCCTAGGCAGATACGCAGTGCCTGACCCTGCAAACTCTCCAATGAATGAGTATTCATGAAGAAATATGCGTGAAGTGGTTATGCACCACAGTTAATAGGTGATCAAGAACAAATTTTTTTAATGGATGAAAGCGTTGGACGACCAAGTCGTCACGAAATTCCCATTGTGTGACGCCTCGCTGTTCCTTGATGGTCTAAAATGCTTTATTACTCATATTAATGCGACTCGTTTCCAGACATTAAGCCTGCCTAAAACCAGTTTAGAAACAAGTTCCAAGCGCTGGCGCGGCTCAGTGGTAGAATGCTAGGTTGGCACGCAGCGGACCCGGGTTGGATTGTGTCATTGATATTCTTAACTTACCGAGTTTTTTTTTTTTTTGTTCGATACTAATTACGAGTGGCGGCGGCGGCGGACACGGCTCTACGCATGACCCGTGTTCTGATCTCGTAACACCTTTCACTATAAAAAGAAAAAAAAACGTACTCAGGGATATCACACAAACACACACACACACACACACACACACACACACACACACACACACACACACACACACACACACACACACACACACACACACACACACATATATATATATATATATATATATATATATATATATATATATATATATATATATATATATATATATATATATATATATATATATATATATATATATATATATATATATCCTACAAAAACATAGAGCCTGCAAAAAATTATTCTTAGCGTCATTGTGCCCCCGGACGCCAAAAGAAAATCTATGAATGCAGTCGCATAGTCGCTAAAATATGGAAGAATAAGCGAATGAGCGAAGCATGCATACTTAAACATCGAAAGCTGAGCCCAGTGTCCGCTTCACACGATTCGCGCAGCCAAATACTACCCAAGAGCCCAACATTGTCGCCTCAAAATGTGATCCCAGACATGTTCAGAAGCGTCTTGTTCAATTAGAGGCATGATACGCAACATTGCTAGCACTAAATCAACACGAAAGCCACGCACGCTAAAATGCGCCCATCCGTTTTCTGCCCTGATCAATATGGCGGTGTCGGCTTCAGCCGCGGAGCCTCTCCGCCACTCCAGAAGCTTTAATATAACCTCCTTGGGCAAAATAGACTTTAAGCGGGTAGACTTAACTAGAAAGAGGTTATCTGATTGGTGGCTAAAGTCAAGGCACGAGTGAAAATTAAACTCTTCACTGCAAGGTACGAATCCTCAATCTCTCTATTTAAAGAAAAATAAAAGCTAAATCTAATGGTTAGTTTGCTAAGTACTACGGCTAGGTGACGCTGGCCGCCGCCCAATCTAAAGGGTACAGCCACATCTATTCATCCATTCGTCCACTGCCAAGTACTACGTCAACAAAGAACTAAAAGTAACTAGTTTAAAATTTTGTTACGGCAGTATTGTTTTAATCAACAAGTCCTGAAAATCAGAAGGTGTTCCCGTTCAACACACGACCTGGACAACACTGGCACTTTCAAAACTAGCTCAACTGCGGCTACGTCAAAACTGCTACAAAAGTCAAACTGAAGTTGGTTTCGTTCTCGCACTTCCTCCGTGTTCTCGCATGTCTCTTGTCGGAGCAACACTGCGCTCATTCAGTTGTGAAACCTGTGAAACAGTCACTTCTAAAAACATCATTCTCGTCTCAGGAGGCACGACTTCAATGTGACAGCGATGGATAACCCTCGAGGCAGTGCCGACAATGTGGAGGCAAGTTCACGTTTCCTCGATAGTTTTTAACGAAAAATGCGTGGCCACTCACATCGTACTCGTTTATCGCAGGACTGCAGCTTGGACGGATTTGTGGAGAAGCATTTGGCACTCCTGGAACTGGAGCGACAAGAGGAAGTGGAACAAAATGCGTGAGTGGCAGCCGACCGGGCGATTTTCGATCGTGTCCTCCCGAGTGCGGTGCTTAGTTCAACCGCGTGCTTTTTTTTTAGCAAGCTGCAGGATAAGTATTCGCTCAAGGAACTCCAGAGCAAGGGCCTCTGCATCACGAAGCTAGTTCTGGACTGCGCCCACACCGGCTTGTACGGACGGAGTGTCTGCAAATTTCGATCGTGTCACCATGGAGCGCCGCTGCCCTGCCACGGCTTTTCTAACGGTGGGACACTCGATTGTTTGCCGTATGACAGCCGCCATTTTTATGAAAGAGCGCACGCAGGCCCAGGTGGCACCGCGCAGTGGTGAGACTTGAAAAGAAGATGGTGTCGTTACTTTACGGCGTACACTCCCATAACTGACCTTTATTTTACGCTTTATTTTTGACAGCTGACTCACCATTCATATGGGTATAGCGCACCACGACAAGGACACAAAAAGAGAGAGACACAGTGCTATCTTGCAACTAATGTTTTATTAGCGATCACACATGCTATTTGATCTATAATAGTAGATCGATGAGCCCTCCACTACGGCGTCTCTCATAATCACATGGTGGTTTTGGGACGTTAAACCCCACACATCAATCAACAGTAGATTGATGAAGCCCCCCCAAAAAAAACATCATGTAAAGATACAGAGCTTTACATGATGTTTTCTTGGTTTCTCTACTGTTAATGTTAAATGGCTTTTGTGATCGCAAATAAAGTATTAGTTGCAAGCTGGCGCTGTGTGTATGTCTCTTTTGTGTCCTTGTCGTGACACGCTATAGACGCTCTTAGAAAAAGAGTGCTCCTAGCACTGCAGCAGACGATGCAAGCTGTGCGTCCCAGTGACACTGATGCGCATTTCTTGCAGCGGACACGGACACTCCTTGGGTTTTTGCAGGACGTGGACCGCATTGGGAGGGCACGCCGATGAGATCTCTTGCAGGCCGGATCCATGCATTGCCAGCCATAACAAGCCAAACTGCTTGTCCAACCCGCTGAAGGGTACAAAATATTGCTCATTGTGCAGCGGAAGCAGCTCAGAAAGCTTATCGGAGAGTACTAGGAGCTCGTTCAAGCTAGAAAGCGGTGCGATTGCAGCGGATGATATGGAGAACTAGCCGCCAACACAAACATCACAGCATTCACGCATTTTGCGGCTCGCTTTCCATGCCCTCATGATGGCGCTAGCTATCCCACGCTCTTTTGCTAAGAGAAACTGACGAAAAGCTCACCGTCAGGTGGTGTATTTGTGAAAAGGGTCTATACCCATATGAATGGTGAACCCCAACCAACTAGCCCGGCAACGTGCCTTAGCGAATTTGATAGGACATGCAAGCAAATTAAGATCGTTTTCGATCTGTCACCTTCACTGTTTTGAATTGTCCCTACTGCCGCAACATCAAGTGCTAAAAAAACTGCAAGAGGGGCTGCAGGCAAGAATAGCACTGCTCTCTGCCTCTATTTCTACATTTCGCCACTGCGTCGCGCCACATGCGCGGTTCGAATAATGTATGGACTTAGCTTCGAAGCTGTTCGCCATGTTCTCGTGTGTTCCCTTTCATAAAAATGACGCTACCTGTATGATCATGAAAGTTCCGCAGGAATAGCCTCACTAACACTAGATGCGCTTGAATGCAAGCTCTTAAAATGTTGAGCGCAGCACGTATACTAAACTCGCTAGGGTTGCAAATTGTGAACATTTTGTTTTAATTGCGCGTAAGATATGTCAAGAGCATATATATTTATATACGACAGATTTATACTTTGTGGTTTGTGGAATGTATTTTATCATTGCCCATCTATGCCCTTTACATAGCATAAGAATAGTGTGACAACTAGTTATCAGCTAGAGATTTTTTAATGAAATGTGTGCTGTATGTCACGGCTGATGTGCCTGTCAGCATGGCATGGTCACTGTACTGTCACTAGCTTTATGATGGCCGACATAAGAGTGCGGGCCAATTACTGCATACTGTAACTGTAAATCATTGTTCATCACTGCAATCAACATTTAGGCGAGTCGACCTCTTTTTGTCAGTTCTGGCAAAGACAAGTTTGCTTGTTGAAACACTGGCATAGCCAGGAATTTCTTTCAGAGGAGTCCCACCTGCTGAAGACTTGAACTGTTTCTGGAAAACACCTATTTCCATTGCTTATTTTTTCGGTGTAGCATCTTCCTTTATGAGAATTCCAGGGGGAGCCCTTCTTCCAGCTACAATCCTGCTATAGTGTCTAGCGATATTTCCTGTGCCTCGGCACTATAAGGGCTGTCGTGTGCTGGCGTCGCTTGGCGTAATGCTAGCAAAACCATGCATAGTGTGGCATTCCGGGAGAGCTGGGCTTGTTGGTTGTACTTGCTTAGAAAACAGCACAAAAGAAAGCAAAGGACTCACAGAAATAAAATACACACACAGTACTGACTCTGAACAATTTTCTTATTGTCAAAAAACAACGAAATTGTTCAAGTGTTCAAGATTGCGCAGTTGGGTGACAGCTGTTCCAGCACCCGTTCAATCGCACTATGGCCCAGAGGTGATTTGGCTTAGTTGGGCTGTAGGCAGCCTATCTGTGCTATATATATGTCCAGCTTCGGCAAGAGTCTGGCCTTCACCATTCCTGATAAAGGCCAGACTGATACGAAACTATGGGTGGAGCAGCTAGAAGGGAAAGGTTGCAGAGCGCCGTGCGTTTTCCTTGCTAGAGAGGGTCCCTCTGCGCGCTGATGCCGCTAGGGGTGCTGTGTGGGACAGCCGTCGTTGTCGCAAATTATGCAAAGAAAGCCTAGCGCTCAACAGCGTGGTGTCGTTTTCTTTTTTTCCCCGTGTTCACATGGTTTTCATTGCCCGTGGATCATACATTCTTGAGCAGTGTTGACAGTGCCCTATAAAATGATGAAGAAAGCTTAACATTTTTGCTTCATTCTTGACTGCAACTTTGGGTGCAGGTAGGGATTTGTCAGTGTTTTAAAAAGCTCGAATGATGCTCCATTTAATTCAGTACTTGAACTGAATAGCACATATTCGAAATTATGTGTGTTTTCTCGAACATTCACTACTGGTGGAAAAATACCAGAGGAGCAACACATATTAGCACGAGACAGCACCGCACTTACTTGTTTGCATTGGTGAAGTTTTATCTATAAGATTGCAACAAAGTACTTCCTTGAATTATGAATTAATGGCTGTATTTCACCGAATGCTTTAAAGAATTTCATTCGCTATCTCAGCCTATACAAGTTTGCCCCAGTTAACCTAACAATGGCATTTTTTGCCAGTTCATATTAATTCTAATGATGCTTTTATTAATGTTTCTGACTATTAATTCTGAATTAAGTATTGTTGAAGCATACAGCTGTTCTGAAAATTTTTTCTTACTATTCAAATAATATTCAATTCGTATTCAAATAATTCTCATTTATAATATTTCATTCCTATTCGATCCGGTTGTAAAACTCGCTATTTGCACGGCCCTATAGGTACTGGTCGTCGACAGAGAGAGAATCTGTTCTGAGTACTGGCGTGCAAAGGGCTGTTTGAGACGTGGGCTCATTGTGCGCTAGATGTGACCGTGAAGCATATTCTTTGCATCAATTGTAAACAATGCTAAGCAACAATACTGATCATTGGCCTAGTTGGTACTTGCTTAATGACATGTTTTGGCCGCTAATAACACACACACAAAGTAAAGAAACACTCAACAAAAAGCACTCAATGACAAGTGCTTGTCGTTGAGTGTTTTTTTTTACTTTGTGCATGTGTTATTTGCAGCCAAAGCATGTAATTATGCTAAGCAACTTGCCTCGACATCAAAAAAAAATGGCACCCCAATTCTGCCGGCTGGTGCATTAGGACCATGATAGCCTCTCTTACCTGCGAGTCGGGGTGTACTACTTAATTCAGTTGCTTAAAAACAAGGTGACCATTCTTTTGGACATCTTGTGTCCATGCTGCCTGTTGCAGACATGCAGCAAAAGATTGGGCAAATGTCACAGGTCGGTTGCTCTGAGCATGTCATTATTTTAATGCGATCGGTTACACGCTTTTATTACTAAATTTGTTGCATTAATTTATAAGCGAAGTCAACCAAAATAAGCAACAAAAGAAAGCCACACGGGCTAGGCCCTGGGTTCTGTAGACTGCTTTTTATTGCACAGATCAAAGAAACTTTCTTTGTGTGCGAATTTGTTTTTTTTTTTTTTCAAATAATAGTATTTTTTTTTTCTGATAAAACAAACACATGATGCATTGACCAGCAGCCAGGGTATAGTAACAGGTCCAAAAGAGCTGGCAAGTTTTTTAACGATGTGAATAGGCACGGAATGTGACTTCAATAAGTGATAGTGATGCATAACTGCAATTAGCAAAATGGCAGGACAGAAGCAAAATAAAAAACAATGCTCAAATTAAGTGATATGCCCGACATGCCTCTAACAATATTACTAGCACGCAGTGCCGCTCGGTATGTAGCCTGCTGCATACTGAGAGCTCTATAAAAAAAAATAGATTTTCTTCAGAACGTTGGCACACGTAATGTTCATGGCGCATTACCACGATGATTACACGGTTGTTAGGTGAATTCTGTATTCTTTGATTTGTCATTTCTCTCATTTGTCAGATACTGCTCAAGTATATATTACACAATTCCAGCAAATAAATCTTTGTTGTTAGTCAGTGCTGCTGTCTGTCTCCTTCTTTTCTCGTCCCTCATTATTGGCGCTGCTTTTTATGTGAATCATGTACCACCTCACCCAAGCAACTACTTTAACTGCTGCATGGTAATGCATGTGAACGCTATTTTTCAAAGAAGGAGATCAACCCCTTATTATTATGATTGCACATGCTGAGAAAAAGCGATTAGCGTTTGGAAGCAAAAAGTAGCGTGTGTTCCTTGAGGACAAGGAAGGCTGTGCTGCACAACACCTGCTCAATGTCACGCGTCCCTGCGTACAGTGCCCCTTGTGGCATCAGTGCACTTTGGGGACTGGTTTCCGCAGGCGCTTCTCACACCTCCCCATACCTTCCGTCCTACTAGGAATATGGTCCCTAGAATACTGGCTAGTCGACCATGCACGCAGCGTGTCGTATCGGGAGGGGTTGATGCTTCCTGAGTCACCGGACAGGGGGCGCTGCACACTTTCCGAATGTTCGGCAATGCGGTCTTGTGCATGAGATCAGAAGTTCAAGCAAGATTAGAAATTAAGCAATGGGAATAAGTAGGCTTGCCTTAGAAGCTC